AGAATTGCTCCTATTGGATAATCAATGATAAATCGACAACTATATTTCGACAGTCAACTGGGTACCACAGGTTGTTCAGCTGGCACCCTCTAAAGGCTGTCTTTCTGATTTACAAGGACATCTAGTGTACTCTGCATACATATTAAAAAGAGTAGGAGAGCCTGGAATGTTGTCAGAGAAAAAGATTTTCCATTGGAGATTTGTCCAATATGTCGGAGTTCAAGTAGCCAAACATGTGGTATCTACTGCGTGCCAGAAGTTGTTTGGCTGGTGCCCTCCTAAGACTGTCTAATTTACAAGGACATTAGATGTACTCTGCATACATATTAAAGAGAATTGCTCCTATTGGATAATCAATGATAAATCGACAACTATATTTTGACAGTCAACTGGGTACCACAGGTTTTTTGGCAGGGAATCACTTTTTTCCTCGGGAAAATTGTCGGGGAAAAGGATTTTCCATTTGAGATGTGTCCAATATGTCGGAGTTCTAGTAGCCAAACATGTGGGATCAACTGCGTACCGCAGGTTGTTCAGCTGGCGCCCTCCTATTTAAAGACTGTCTTTCTAATTTACAAAGACATTAAATGTACTCTGCATACATATTAAAGAAAATTGCTCCTATTGGATAATCAATGATAAATCGACAACTATATTTCGACAGTCAACTGGGTACCACAGGTTGTTCAGCTGGCACCCTCTAAAGGCTGTCTTTCTGATTTACAAGGACATCTAGTGTACTCTGCATACATATTAAAGAGAGTAGAAAATAGTATATAGCATTGGCATACACCTTGTTTAAGAGGAAACCTATTGCTATTCTCATTATCCGGGTTAACACAAGCAGTCGGCCGTTGTATTGATTCTGTATTAGTTAAACTATTAATATTATTATTATTATTATCATTAATTGTGCTTTTATAGCTCATAGTGCATACTGCTGCCACTAGGGCCTCTGCAATTTCCAAAAAATCGTAGAGAAAAAAATCCGATGGTAACTGATATGTATGTACTATATGTAGAGAGAAAAGTGAAAGGGGGGAAATTAAAAGGCAATTGCGACAAATAAGTCAACAAAAGGAAAAGAATAAAGGAAGAAGAAAAAACTAATCAAAATGTTGGTCAAAGGGGAAGGTCTTCAGATGGGACTTAAAAGATAAAGCAATGAAGGCTTCATTCATAGCTTTTCCTTTAACTGCAAGAAAACGTTGTTGTCGCAGGCCACATAACACACACCCGTGGGCCGGATATGGCTTGTGGGTCGTCAGTTGAGAACCCCTGTTCTAATAGATGTACTAGAAATTTTACAGTGTTTCCAGACATCGAGATGGAGCAGATTAATTTTTAAGTTTTAGTTATCGTTTTTATCTTCCTACACATTATTTGTCATGCAGAGAATTTTCACATTTCTGTAGGGAAAGTCGTTGGGGAAAAGGATTTCCCATTTGAGATATGTTCTGCATGATGGAGTTCTAGTAGCCTTCTAGTAGTCTAGTAGTCCTCCTATTGAAAGATTGTCTTTCTAATTTGCAAGGACATTAAGTGTACTCTGCATACATATTAAAGAGAGTAGGAGATAGTATACAGCCTGGAACTTTTTGTCAGAGAAAAAAAATTTCCCATTGGAGATGTGTCCAATATGTCAGAGTTCAGGTAGCCAAACATCTATATGTAAACATGTACTCTGCATACATTGGATTTATTTATTCGGTGTAAACAACAACAATAGCCCACAATAGCCTAGAAGAAGACTTATTTCCAGTGGGGTCCTTCTGGTGGTGATTGGGCAGTACACCGGGAGACAATCCCCTACTCTTTTCCGAAGAGTGTAGTGCACATGGGTCATAAATGCACACGGGACCAACGGCTTAAACGTCTCATCTGAAAGACGGTGCGCTGTTGTAACTTGTATTTCAGCCATCCAGCTGAAACACAAGGAGGGGCAGTGGTGGGAAATGAACCGGGGACCTAGAGATCTGTACGGTTCAGCGCACACACCGTGGCTACCACCAGATTAGGCTGCTCTTCCTACATATGTACAGTAGACTGTAGGAGATAGTGTACATCATTGGCACACACTTTGTTCAAGAGGGAGCCAGTTGCTATCCCCTTTATCCGTGTTAACACAAGCAGGTGACCATCGTATTGATTCTGTATTGTTTAAAGTAATATTATTATTATTAATTGTGCCTTTATAGGTACCACTGGAGCCCCTTTTTGCTTTCCAAAAAAATTGTATAGAGAATTATAAGGAAGGAAATTGAAAAAGGAAATTACTACTAATAATAAGGAAAAAAAATACAACCAAAAGGTTAAGTCAAAGAGGAATTCCTTAAACAGAACTTGAAGGATCTTTCCACATTATTAGAACTTGTTCAAATTTGAAATCTTAGGGAGAATTTGTACAAAGGTTACTAGTCCAATCGAGAGGGAAAAAATAAAGATGTGTTAAATCCCTATTCTTTTTTTTGTGTTTTAGTAAATTTTCATTTGCATAAAGGTTGAGTTAACTTTATTCTAACTTTATGTTTACTCTGACTAATTGGGCATTGTTTAAACCAAGAAACATAGTCAAACAACAGTCAGTCAAGCACTATGTAGCGCTGGTACAGCTAAACCTCTCTGATCACCTCTTGTGTAGTGAGTATCTCTTTCAAAAGGCTACTTGCTGAAAGTCCTCAAAACTTGTATTCCGGTTGTCTTGAATTGTTGGTCAATTTAACAGCTTGTTTCTAGTGAAGATTTGATGATGATGTTTCTGCACAGCAGCCGTCGGTAAATAATTCAGTGCCCAATTGGAGGGAGAATTTGCAAAATGAAATTACTGTATGTAAGATGGAGTACTGCTTCCTTTCAACTGTTGTTACTGCTGTTCAATTTTTTTTTGTTTCTCAAACTGTCTGTCACACTTATAGTCAACATTCTGTTGTGAACCAGTTGGTGCTGGTCATCCTGTGCTTAAATTTTGAAGGCTGGGTCAGATTTTCTTCCAATCCTGGTAAATAATAAAAATTAATATACACCATCATTTTGATATTTGTTAGGATCAATTCTTATTATAATCTCAGAAGTGGCCTGATGCCGCTATGAAGTCGTTGGATCAAAATTTAAAAAATAATAATTTGCCTATCCAAATAACATTATTTTTATTGATCTGGCAATTAGTTGTAACATGTTCATTGAAGGGGTCAAGCTTTTTTTCAACCAAAACTAGTCCTATTTTTAATTAAAATCATTTTAATGATTTCAGTTGTTTTAAAACATTTTTATTTATCTATTTTTAGTGCTTTGAAAATGGTAATTTGAATATTTCTATTGTACGAAGATAATCTGGCAATATTTTAAATTTAAAAAAAATTTTCTATTGCAAGGAAGAAGCTGTGCTTCCTATACATTTTATTTTATTTTTTATTATAGCCTTAATTGAAATTTTCTTTTTTAAGATTATAATTTTAATTGTAATTATAACATTTTATATATAGTTTTTAAGTGCTCTTGGCAAAAAAATATTTTAATACTCTAATATTTATGTTGCATATGTTTCTCGGTTGGTACTGGAGGGCTCTCTGACAGATGGGCATTGTCCTCTCTTGTGCAATCCTACAAGGTACTGCTGAGTGGTTTTTGTGTTATTGAATTTGTATGTTCTTGTGAATTTGGTGAAAAGAATTATATGATATGATATGATTTTGATTGCCAAGGGTCCTAATACTGTCTGTCTCAGATATTTGTTGATTTCCTTATTCATTAAATTAAAAATATTTAACCAATGAAAATAAAAATTAATATGCATCTTCATTTTGGTATTTTTAGTACCTACTTCTCCAACATTGAATATTGATTGGTGCATTTATTAGAATTTTCCTATACAAATCACATGTTTATTGAAACTATATTACAGCATTGTGGCTACTACTTGTGCACAGCATTTTATAACAGGCGTTATTTGACATTAAAGTACTGAAATTAAAGTATGATATGATGCTTTAAAGCGTAGCTTTTCCTTAACTGCAAGAAAACATTTTCCTTACAAAAAAGAACTTCTCAAGAAATAGATTTAGAAACAAAAGGTTGTAAGCAAGCTGGAGAGCCTCATTTCAACCACTATCCATTCTGATTACTCTCTATCAGGATGTATTGCAAGGCCAATTTGGCTAATGTATGTTTGAAGAAGAGCTATTCCCACCATTCCAAGTTGTTTCCTGCATGTGAGAGAGGTTACCAAGTACATTCCCCATTATAAGAACTTTTTTCGAATCTGAAGTCTTAGGGGGAATTTGTGAGAATTATCCCAACCAACAGCACCATATTAGTGCTATTACAGCTAAACCTCTCTGAGTGATCACGTCTTGTATAGCAAATACCTCTCTTAAACGGCAACAGTACTTGCCGAAAGCTCCCAAAAACTTCTAGTCAAAACTTCTGAAGAGTTTGGCGATTGGACAGATTTTGATGATCATGTTCTTGCACAGCAGCCGTTGGTAGATACCTCAGAGCTCCAGAGGGAGGCCTGGGTCAGATTTTCTTCAAAATCTGGGGAATAAAATAATAATAATAACTAATAATAGGCAGGAGAAAACCCATAGTGTTCGATGTATGCAGCTACTGTATGCTAATTGCTGTATTAAGTCAATCGCCATCTTTTAATGCTAATTTTGATAATCAACAGCTATTTAGCATGCTGTTATCGGTTGCTGTAGTGATATGATCAGTATAGTCAGAGTACAGTATATTACATCATCAGCAGTCAATGCCGTAGCCAGGATTTTCAAAAAGTGTGGGACAATATCAGGGTGGACCCACTTTAAAATTTATCCCCTTTTACGTAAAATTTGAGAAATCTGGACCCTTTTTTCCTAAAATTTGACCAAACGTACACAAAATATGAGAAATGTGGACCTATTCTTTGTGGACCCAAGAGAAAAATTGTGTGGGACTGTCCCAACTGTCTCAATAGCTGGCCACAGTATTGTCAGCAGTACAGTTCGGATACAATGAATAAATATTATGTTTGAAGAACTTGTTTGTAAATTCTATTCGTCACCTCCCCCATTCGTCAAGAAGGGGGGGTGGGCATTCCCCCTCTCCCCGTCAGACAGGCTTGAACCCCGTTATTGACCGACAAACGACCAGGTCGTTGTATCGAAAATTTAAAAAATATATAATTTTCCTATCCAAATAACATTATTTTGATGGCTTAAAGCACAAATTGGACCATACTATGACATAAAAACTTTTCCCATGAACCCTATCAAATGATTTCTTATTCTAGGCCGTCTTCCTGTCTCTTTCTGATCTGGCTAATTGAGCTTTCACATTTACTTTTATTTTGCTGTGCATAGTGATACCTACGGCACTGACATCCATGGGAAAATTGATAATAAAGCAATAAGAACATGTAAAATTTTAATTTTTGCGGAGATGGGTTAATTTCCGGGAGATTCTTTTTTATTTTATTTATTTATTTTATTCATGTATGAAAGAATACAAGAAGTAGCTAAAGGCTAAAATTATTGCACTTACAAAAATATAAATTAAAAAAATTATGAAATTGCACAAAAACATTAATATACTGTATTTACAAATCAAAAATGAATATTTACAAATTATATCAAAATATAAAAAAATAAAACAAAAATGCTCATTCTTTAAAAACTGTTTGATTGTGAGAGTGTGGGAGTCACCCGGAAATCGGAAAACTCACACGAGGTCCGGGAGACTTGGGAACCCCCTATGGGACATACAGAAGCTCTTACCATTTTCTGAAAAAAAACTGGAATCTTTTAGAAAATATTCAGTGATGAAACTCAATAGAGGGTTTCACTTCTCAAAATCCTTCGTAAAAAATGATATATGTCCTTCCTCATAAATTCTTTAAATGACAGAAAATAATTATTTACGAAAAGTGCACTAGACTATGATACCTAGGTTGTAGTAATAGTTTTCATATTAAGCAATGAAAGAAACAAACTCTCAATGTATTCATTGAGAAGACTTTTATAGGATACCAAAAAGGTAGAACAATAACAATTCATGCAATTTGAACAAAATAATATACATTTGACTTGGGTCACTGTACTTTTTCTACACTGCAATTTTCTATTCAGTATATTTCCTGTTACGCACAAATACCTGATTTTTTTCACATCCAACTCATCACTGAGGTCATTCGAAACTTTATGGTAAGGAATTGACATAATCAATGTTTTTACGATTGTCTAGTTTTAGGTGCTTCATGTATCATCAATTGGCTACTGTAACTCACTTTCTAGTGCCAGATAGTGGTCTATTCTAAATAAAAGAAAAAAAAGATCTTAAGACTGCAGAGATTTGCAAACTCTGCTGCTCGCTCGGTTTTTCCATGTGAACCTCGCACACATTCTGCTGCTATCATTAATGAACTCCATTGGCTGTCTTTAAATAGCAGAATTATGTTCTGTCTGTCCACAAGTGTATCTATAGGTTTTCTTCTGCCTATTTATTTAGTTTTCTTGACCAATATATTCCTATACATTCCACAACATTTGCTTCTTCTGTACATATTACTGTTCCACGTCATAAGGGAATTGGAAGTTTCGACTGAACTCACTGACATGTCAGAACCCAATGTCTTCAAACGTGCACTTAAGCTTACTTGTTTGCTTACTACTTCCAATTGTTATTTTACTGAATTGTGTATTTTCTGATATGCTTTTGTTAATTGTTTAGACAATATAGTTGTTTCGCTTGTAGTTTCCAGGGTTGTTTTTATGCTGCAGTATGTGCTGTGCTGCCTTGAGTTTTTTCCTGAACAATGATACTTGGCGTGCGCTTATAACCCTAAGGGAAAGGCGTATTATAAATGCTTGTACGTACCAGTACCAGTATTCCTACTAATGCTAGTGGGGGTAAACGTCATACAAACAGACTTATCGTTACAAACAATATCATGTTTCATTTTTCACATCGTTTGAATGTGATCGAACGATGGTTTTAAGCCGCAGTCTACATTAGACCACCCACCCCATTAAATTTTTAAAGCATTCGTAAAAATATAGTAATTAATCAAAGTAATAGTAATAGTTCAAATAAACAGTTTTCGCTTTACTGTGATTTTGAAATAACAAAATATTGAATTGTATGCATCTTTTAATAAGTTTATAAGAATCAACACATCCCCTGTGCTTAATTCTTGATTAACCATACATTATGCGACAAATCAAAATAAGAGCTCATCAGTGTACATTATCACATACATTGCGCCACTGACAGTCACCAGGTTCTGGTTAATTAATATTTAGACAATGCAAAAAAGTAATTGCATATCTCTCGCCCTGAACTTCACCATGGCGTATGGTGCGAAGGTCTGGATCTGCGCCTGGTAACTCTAGTATATATGTAAGGACTTGTAAAATTTCACTTTGGGAGTTAGGCTGATGGGGCAAAAGTATGCAGTTCAGAATAAAAATTTGTATTTGTAACACTACAAACAATACACTGTAGGTATTTCAGGATTATGGATTATATGTAGTGTAAGCCTGCAGTACATATTTTATTTTTTTTTTTGCTCTCTAATTTATATTTTTTGAGTATTTCTATATGCTCATTAATTTTAATAATATTAGTATGTATTTTATACATATTGTAATAAAAATATTTCTTAATGTTTATTTTTTGCTTTGTATTGTAACTGGAATGATGTGTTTCATGCCACCTGAAGTACAAGAATCACAGATAAATTTAGGAATTTCTTATAATCAAACAGCTTCATTGTGTAACAGACCACAGGCATTGGATTAATTGTTTACATGATTGCTGATCGCAGTGTTAAATTAATGATTATATTTACAATAAAAATGTAATTAATATGTCTTTATTATTATTCTATAAGCATTGTTTAAGACAATTAAGATGATAGTACTAGACCTAGACGTGCCATTACCAAAACATGAAAATTTTTAATTGTAATAAACTTTCCCGTTGCAAAATGCAAATCCCATGATTCGGACAAGTTTTCCCTTGAGTACACTGTTGCTACCAATCATGGCCTAGCTCATTTTTATGTTAGAGAGAATGGAAGGTTTCTAAACAGTTTTACTAAATCCTAATGAAAACCAACCTACCTTATTAGTACTCTTGACATAAAGCTTCATTATCAGATGTGCCCCCACACAAACTTATAGCAGATTTTAGAATTATTTTGGGTGTTGGCTTCGTACGGCACAATGCTCACCGGTACATAGACGGGTTTTCTAGACGTTTTGCACGGCCGATCTGTCCAGATATTAACCCAGTTGTTTGGTGATTGTTAGTTGTAGGACATGCGTATGATTTGTGGCCTTTTTTGGAACAAGCTTTCTGATTTGTCCGTATTCAAGTTTGATACTCTGGAATATTCCAATCTCCAAGCAGGGCAAATATGGTATATATAGTAGTATCATATCCTATCA